CCACCATCACCACCACCACCAAACAGACAAGCAGAGCTACAAGGGACCTACTACCACCAAGAAAAAAATCAGGAGTGGAGTACATCCTTTAGACCTACACTCCCAGATCCAGAGGAAGATTAAAGGTAAGATACCTGGAGAAAACCATGAAATGCTGGGTCTACAGGTGCTGAAAGACACAAGACACTTTCTCCAGAGCCAATGCTCTGAATGCAGACTCCTAGCCTCCTTAACTACGAAAGAATACATTTCTACATCCATTTGTGGTGTTTCTGTTATAGACAGCAAGAGGAAACTAGACACTTGGTAAAGAAGAAGATCAGTGAAAAAAGAGGAAAAAACCCTCAACATGATGGAGGGACACAATCACAACACGATGGGCTCAAATGTAACAAGCATTGTGAGAATGGTGTAGGATCGGGGAGTGTTTTGTTCTGTTGTAACATACGGTGGCTTTAAGTCCAAATTGACAAGATGGCATTGAATAAGCATATCCTACATGTCTCAAGGAAAGCTATGAAGAGTTCAGTTTTAGAAATAATGAAACTAAGATGAAGCAGAAAGAGTTCATAGGAAAATTTCCAGCAACCTGGCACTAACTCTTAATCCCTGCTAAAGTGCTATTTGTTATTAGTGCCGTCGAGTCGGTTCCGACCCACAGTGACCCTGAACAGGGTTTCTGAGGCTGTAAATCTTTACAGGAGCAGAAAGCCTCACCTTTCTCCCGCGGAGCAGCTGGAAGTTTCGAACTGCTGACCTTGTGGTTCACAGCCCAATTCGTAACCACTACACTACCAGAGCTCCTGCTAAAGTGCTATATTCATTCGCAAAACAGTGATTATGAGGCAGAGAGGCAGGCAGAGGCCTCAGTCCAACTCTATGAGTGAAAACAGCCGGAGTCAGAATCGTTACCTTCTCGGAGGAGATCTTCACCAGCAAATCCACTTGATACAAAGCAGTTCCATGTTCTTTTCTTGAGCCGACACTTAAGAACCCACTTCCTGTGTCATCACTTGTTAACAGCTCAATATCATTCCACATGTCTCTGGGACTGTCTTCCCCAGTCAGGAACAACTGCTTTTTCCCTGTGACAACATGAAAATTCAGAAAGCAAATTATCTTGTTGTCCAACGTCCATTTCCTAGGGAAGTAAAAACCCACACATACACACACAGAGAGCTAATAAAAGCATGCTCAACAAAGAATTCTTTATCTTTGTGCTCTCTGTGGCACTACAAACTTTGGGCCAATAAGATTAATCAAAGTACAGCTATGATTATCATCAGAGAACATTTTTGCTTGGCCATGCAAGTAAATTATTCTGACTGCACCAATGTACCCCAGGACTTCTAGCACTTTGCCTGACATGACATTTTACCAAATTTTTGTTTACATAAAATCTTTAATCAGCAGAGCAATAAAGAATACAGGCTCCACCTTAAGATGGTTTGAGACATCTCAGGGTTGTAAATCTCAGATTAAATTTTTTTTTTTTAATTTAATATTTCTACAGTATTGTCATACAACAGTGAGAAGGAAAAAAAAAATCCATTAGTTTCTAACTAGCCAAATAGTTAGTATAGACACCTGTAACTTGAGGAAAGTTACTTAAACATTAAGAAGCTCTGAGAGCGTAGTGGTTACTAGTCAGGCTACGAATTTCAGTCAGCAGTCCCGCCAGAAGGATGAGGCTTTCTGTTCCAGTTTAACATTTACAGTCTCAGAAACTCCATGCAGGGTCATTATCAGTGGGAACTGACTCCACAGCACGTAACCACCACTACCACTTAAACATTTAATCAGTAAAGATTTACATATTTCGCATTATCTGTTCTTTGGATGGAAATACAATACTAAGATGAAAAACAATCTCTGGATCCTGTGTGGGCTACTTTGGGTGGCATTTCACTACTAACCCAAAGGCTGAGGGTTCGAATCTACCCAGAGACACATCAAAACAATGGCCTGGTAATCTGCTTTCCAAAAGTCATTCTCTGAAATCCAGTGGCATGCCATTCTACACTGCAACTCACAGGATCACAGCAAGTGCTTTGGTTTTTGGTCATCTGATGGGCAATAACCAAATAGTGCCAATTGCTATGGTAAGTACTAGAACTATGGGGAGCCCTGCTGGTGCAATGGTTCAATACTAGACTACCAACCCAAAAGGTTGGTGGTTCAAACCCACCCAGCAGCTCCACAGGAGAACGACCTGGTCCAATGGATTCCGATTCACAGCGACCCTGTCTTCAAACCCTACAGAGCAGTTCCACTCTGTCATAATAGGTTACTATGAGTCCAATTCTACCTACAACCACAACAAGAAGCAGGAAGAAAAGTGATGGCTACCTGTTTCCATTAAGGACAGCAGCCAAGGAAAGCCTATAAGGCAGCTCTACTGTGTCCTATAGAAAGGCGTAAATCAGGACCGGCTCAATCCCACCTAACAACAGTAGCAAAAATACGCTGTGTTGAAAAGCTATAAAATAGGACAACTGGAAAACACAGTTCACAAAAATAATGCCCTGCATCCTAGCCTGATAACAGGCACCAGGGGTATTAAATGCTCACATGAGGCCAGCTACGATTAACTATTGGTGTCTTCTCACCTACAGCAAAGCAGAACGAGGAAAACCGAAAACTCAACAAATTTGCCCAAAGAACTAATGGCCCACCCCCACTCCTGGAGGCCACCTTTCAGCCCACTGAGACTTGACTATAAATCCAGGAACAAAGGACCCTAGGACCATCAAGGTAGAAGAGCATGAGCAGAATGTGGGACCCTATCCAGAGAAGCAACGACACCAGAGATGAAAGCAGGAATGAGGACATGGAGAGAGAGAACAGGTGAGGACTCTAGACTCTAACCATGGAAAGAGAAAGGCTGCGTGCTGGCAGCCAGGAGGCAGCCTTACAGCATGTGCCCTTTGGTTGTTTATTTAAATGCTTATATATTCCTGAGTGTTTTTGTGTACATCCCCTCCAAAACCACAGAGGGAATAGAAGCAAATACTGTTGAATGACAATGCACAGAGGAGACTGTAACCACTGCAATGAAATGATGAGTGAAAACCAGTGTATTCATATGTAAACCATCACTCAATTCACAATAAAAACTTTAAAAAAAGGTACTTGACTGTAAAATAAACAGTAACACCCATGACAAATATAATTCTTATAACAATCAGTTATGGGACCAAAAGGCAAACACTTGGCCCAAACCAACGCTGAGAAAACAAGGAGGGACAGGGAAACTGGAGGAATAGAAATAAGAAAACAAGGGAGAAACAGAGTGCTGACACATTTAAAGGATTGAAACAAATGTCATGGAATTTTGTGTCTGAACTACTGAGGAGAAAACTAATCTGCCACGTAAACTTTCACCTTGGTTGCTAAGTGCCATCGAGTCAATTCCAACTCAACTGTATAGGATTTCTGAGGAGTGGTTAGTGAGTTTGAACCAATGACCTTGCAGTTCAAACCGACCTTGAGATCCAGTGCTTATTCTACAGAACCACACCAGGTCACCTAGAGCACAACAAAATGTTCAAAGAAAAAGAAAAGTTACAAAGGTACTGCTCAGAGGAGTCATTTTTGAGTTGGAGTTCTTTTGCATCTGCTAGCCAATTGTCTGTGGGCAAGTAACAAACCTGTTGTTCCTCAAGTCTCTTATCTATAAAATAAAAGTGGTCCCTACATGTAAAGGTTTTTAGTTTCAAAGTTCACAACTAGAAACATGCTTGGTTCACTACAAGCACTCCATTTAAGACTTAGAGAAAGGAGCTCGGGTAGCGTAGTGGTTACGAATCAGGCTGCGTTCCGCGAGAGAAAGAGGCGGCGTTCTGCTCCCGTAAAGATTTACAACCTCGGAAACCCTGTACAGGGTCTCTATGAGTCAGAACTGACTCCACGGCACACAGCAGCAGCAATGGAGCTCTGGTAGTGTAGTGGTTATGAGTTGGGCTGCTAACCTCAAGGTCAGCAGTTCGAAACTACCAGCTGTTCTGTGGGAAAAAGATGAGGCTTTCTGTTCCCATAAAGATTTGCAGCCTTGGAAACCCTGTGTAGGGTCACTATGAGTCAGAACCGACTCCACGGTACTTAGCAACAATTTATAATTATTGGTAGAGGCAGTAACATTTAGGTTGGGAATTATTTCAGGTGGTATGAGTTTTAAATAGAGTAAGAGTTCTTACTAAGAAGACAGTATAAACCAAATGATAGACACCATATATGTTAGAAAATACACAGTTTTAAGTGGCTGGTGTTTGGGTGGGAAGTGGGAGATAACAAAGACAAGCACAGGTTAGCATTAATACTCCTCTGGGTCTCCACTACCCACATCCATCATATAGAGAAATATTACCAATCTACCAGGACTGCCATATTCATTCATTGAACAAATGTTAACTGAGTGCCTACTATGTGTCAGGCATTATTTTAGGAGCTGGGAATACAGTTGACAACAAGGAAAAGAAAAAAGTAGGCGCTCTGTGGCTCTGTACAATAAGCACTAGACGGTTAACCACAAAGTTGGCAGTTCAAATCCATCAGACGTCCCATATGAGAAAGCTGAAGTCTTCTGCTCCTGTGAAGATGTAAAGCCTTTGAAACGCTTTACAAGGTCACTGAGTCATTGGCATTGAGTTTTATTTATTATTTATGGTATTATACAGTTTATATTCTTGCAGGAAGGTCAGACAAAAAGAAAATAGTTGACTAGAATTGGGTGATTCTTGCAGGTCAGGCAATTTTGAAGCTTTACTCAGTCATCTTCACAACAACCCATTCAGCACTGACTCACTGAGACCTTGTATAGGGTTTCGAGGGCTGATAAGCGTGAACCGCACTTGTAGTTAGCAATCAAGTGCTTATCCTATAATGCCAACGATGCAAGTTTAAAGAAATGGCTAAGATCACCCACAGCTCATCACTTCTGTCACGCCGCTTCCCTAGGAAAAACCAAATCTATGTCGATTTCACATGGGGGCAGAGGGAAGATGAGCGCTGAAGAAGGACCGGTATTTAGGACGGAAAGTAGAAGATATTGGTCTGACAAGAAGCCAACCCTGAAGAGATCACGGGGAACAGGGATGCAGGAGTGTAAAGGTGGGGAGGCTGGAGAGTTCAATGCGGCCTGAACCTTAGCGACGTGGAAAAAGATAGGTTGGTCCAGATGGGTGGGGCCAAAATGAAGCGGCGGTTTCTAGATTGGATTTTACTCTCAGAGCAAAGTGAGTGACGGGATTTGATTAACGCTTTCAGAACACTTTGGCTGTTTCGTGGAGATGAACGAGATAAGCGAGATTTTAAAAAGTGTCAGTTAGGCCTCCACCCCAAAACGCTCCCACCTGGATACTAATCTCTCCCGCCAAAGTCTCGATGGAAAATCTCCCCAAACTGGGCTGCAGCCGCTAATACTTCGAGCTAAACCCACTCCTCCCCCCGCTGCCTACAGCAGTGCAATCCCCTTCTCACCTCCAATTGAAGAAACTAAAATGGAACACTCAAATATTCCTCCCCTGCTCCCGACTCCTATAACCGCTCCTAATCTTAGGTTCTATCTCGGGTTTAAATTGGCGGGAGATGTCTTAGTCCAACCCCTCTTACGGCGGCCGGAGGTAGACAAGAGTATTTTAGAAGCGAAACAGGAAGTTGGCTCACCCTAAACTCCACCCGTTAAGATCCTAAGTGCGCCTTCTGAAGCACATTTTCGGCGCTGCCATCTCCTCTTGCTTTACCCGCCCCCTTCGAAATAGCAACCAATCACAGCCTAAAGTCACGTTGCTATAGAAACCCTTGTCTCCACCCTTTTCCTCCCAGCATCCTATGCGACGCGCGGGGCCTCATCGCCTTTGTGCCATCCGGGTCTCTGGTGCGAGTGATTTAGTCATTTTTGTGGCGGAGCTTCGGGCGGCCGGTACTGTTGAAAGTGGCAAGTTGAGGTGCCGCCTTAGCGGCCGGGACTCTAAACTATGGCGGTAGGTGACGAATCTAAATTTAAGATCAGGGGTATTTTTCTGCTACAATCCAAGGAGTAGGTGAACGGCTCCCCGAGCTGTTGCCCGTGAGTGTGTTGGACAAAATGGCGCCGCGGCCGCCTTCTGTGCTCACCATCATGGCTGCCTGCTGTCGGGAGGGGGAAGTAAGGCGGTGCCGATGGGGGTGGGGGACCGCTAGAAAAGTCTTCCAATTCCAGAAATTTCCTCGTTTTTTCGGCCCACCGGCCTTCCTCCAGTTTCGCTAACTTAACCCGGGCTAGTGTTTTGTGCCGAGTGTACTCGGGCGTTTGGGAATTGATGCGATGGGAGAGAGACTGGAGAAGAGAGAAAAGGAAATACGGGGTAGTCTGAAAAATACAGGCTCCAATATTTCTATGTGTTTGGTTTTTATCTTTTTTGCTCGCGTTCACTAAGATTGTTAAAGTTGCATAATTTTGGTTAGTTTCCCATTTGTGTAAACTTTCGGAGGACAAATTCTACTTCCTAGGAGGATTTGGAACTACGAATCCTGATGGTAGGTTTCCGAAGCGGCTTGTGATGTAATCAGAGTTTGAAGTCTCGAGAAGCATATCATTGTCGTTTTTTGTTTGTTTGTTTGTTTTTATTTAAATGTTGATCTGAATCAGAATTACGGTTCTTAAATTATCTCATTGAATAAGCCTGGCTTGTGTATCAGCTCCCTGATCCTGGGCTTGTCGCATCGTGTATGATGATTTTATTATTTTTTTTAATCCTCTTAAAAATGCAAGCATTTTGCATTTCTTCCCACTGTCTAACATACTGTGCGCCTCATATTTGGAAATACATTGAACTATTCAGTTTTACTCTTCCTAACTGTTGGTAGAATTGGACTTTGAAGGGGTCGTATGGTTTTCGAGGGTTTTTCCCCTCTGCCACATCTAATCGCCTTTAAGGCGGATTTATTTTGATCCAGTTTCAAACAATTGGTCGGTTATTTGGAATTTTGTGAAACTAAGGGATGTAGTGCTTCCATTTAAGAAGTGTTCTAAGCCTATTAATATACTTTAAAGGATATCATTGTTTACTTTGTTGTTCTTAAGTGCCAGCAAGTGGGTCGCGACCCTCTGTCGGGTTTCCTAGAATCCACTGGGTGAGCTTGAACCACCGACCCTGTGATTCCGACTGACTTTGCAGTCAAGCGCATTGGCATTTACTTGGACTAAAAAATATTTTAAACAGTAAAACCAACTATTTTTGTTTCTGCAGTACCTCCTTGGGTAGAAAGATGTGATCCCTTGGATAAAGGATCTAGTATTGAATGATTACCTTCTTTGTGCGCCCCCCCCCCAAAAAAAAAATTTTTTTTTTTAAATGCATACTGTCTCCATGGGTTTTCCATAGTACGTTCAGGGTTTTCCATAAAAACACAAAAGTGATTTTCTGATAGAACAAATACTAGAAGACAGTTTTGTAATTGGCTTTTTTACTATTTATATAGATACGTACTAAATTGAAAGAAAGCCACAGTCAAATTTAAATGAAACTTGAATATTCTTTTTTTTTCCTTTCCTTTTTCCATGATACCTGTATTATGCTATCAGTCATAATGTGGTTAGGACTTATGGAGCCTGCTTTCCCCACTGCCTGCAATCCTGTAAACATTGATAGAAGGTTTACTACCTGGGCTAAGTGCTGGTTTTTCTGTGGAAAGCTAATTTTTCCATTCTAACTACTGTGTCTGTAGACGGTGCCCCCTTTGATTCATTTCTCTTTTAAAATTGTCAAGTACTGAGAAAAGTGCTGGACGTTTGTGAGATGTCTGTCATTTTATAGATGAAAGACGTCAGAAATAGTCCTTACAGATTATGACAACAGGAATAAAAGTAATGTTAGTTATGAGAATCAGAGTTTCCTATAATTGTGTGGTGTACTGTCATTTATTAATATTAAACAAAAAATAAAAATGAAAGGATGTACAGGAACCACTTAGGCAAAATAGCTAATGTTTTTTAATCTTATCTGAAATGAGAAAGTTGAAATCAGGGATTCAAAGGGTCAGGACATTTAAGTTGAAACATTGTTTCCAGAAAGCATCCACCCTTAGAAAATTTGACTTCCTAATGCACACGGGAAAGCTCCTGAGTTGTTAAAACAGCCCTTTTTTTATATTAAAAAAAAGTGAAGACAGTTATCAGAACAGAAACTGCTTGCAAACCTCCAAAGTAATCAGCTCCCTCATTTTCCACCACATAATGCTGAAATTTCAGAATCTGATGCAGAGGATTCTTGCAATTCTAGTTTCTCCATGAGGTTTGAAGCTTTTTTATGACTCCAACCTAAATCAATTTCTCCCTTTGTGGTGTTCCTGTTGTTTGAAACACATAGTTTAGCCATGCCAAATAGATCCATTTTATGGAAAAATATTAACTGAAATTCTTAAAACATTTGATTTCTGTCCTGTATTCTAGATTAAATTATCTTCTGTGAACTGGAAAAGAAGGAACTTAATCTTAAACTAAACCAGGTCTCCACAAAAGAGTATTCTAATTTTTAAAGTGCTTTAAGCAAAAACACTGTTTCTGTATCCCAGAGCCATAAATGTTTATTCTCATAGTATTTTAGAGTCATTATCTTCCACTTTTTAAAAATGTTATGTTTTAAACTGCCTGTTACCTGTCTTCAAGTAGGTTCTGGCTCACAGCGATTCTGCAGAGGGTTTCCAAGAAGCGTCTGGTGGGTTTGAACCCCCAGTCTTACGTTTAGCAATCATACACCACCAAACCTCATAACAATTCATTAAAAATACCTTTTTTAATGTTTGCTCCTGTGGTCGCTGTGGAACAAAGCCCTGGACTCCAGGGTCCATTTGAACCACAAGGTAAATGGTTGAAACTCAACACAGCTGCTCCTTGGAAACGCTATACAGGATTACTATGAGTCAGAACCAACTCGATAGAATTTAACAACAACTTTAAAATAAAGGGATTGTGGGGCTGTGGGTTAATGTGCTGGACTGAAAGGTTGGCAGTTAGAGCTCACCAGCAGCTAGGAGGATTGCTGTGGTTTGGAGGTGACTCGACAACAACAACATTGCAAAGTCAGCTAAAGATAATCCGTAAAGGAGCTGTCTTCTCAATTTGTATTGGAAATACTTAAGAGTGCTTACCCATCCAGTTTTTTTTAACAGTTATTAAAGATCTTGATTAAAATCTCAAGACACATTAGTCTGAGTACATAGATAGTTCTTTTTTAACTCAAGGATGATGACCATCTTCTCACATTCTCCCCTTAAATTTGAAATGTAGTTTAAATTTTTTTAATAACTTTCCTTTTAACACTTTTCAGGCTAGTGACACAGAACGAGATGGACTAGTCCCAGAAAAGACGTCCCCAGATAGAGATAAGAAAAAAGAGCAGTCGGATGTATCTGTTTCTCCTAGAACCTCAAAGCAGCATTATTCAAGATCACGATCAAGGTCAAGAGAAAGAAAACGAAAGTCAGGTATGTGTTGTTGTAAACGATAATTAGCATCATTTGTTATATTTAATATAATTGTTGTTAAGTGCCTTCCAGGTCCAACTCATAGCAACCCTGTATATAGGGTTCCAAGGAGTGGTTAGTAAATTTAAATTTGAACCACTGACCTTGTGGTCCAGTGCTTTATCGCACAGTGCCACACCGGGACTCCCAATTCATGTAGAGGAAGAAGTATGTGAAACATGCAGTTTATTATATGTTCTTGAAGTTGGGGTCAGTTACTATTAAATTTTAATGTAGTCTAGATAGTAGTGTTTCTGAGACAACAGATTGGTGATTCCATATGCTCCATATTCACCTAAATTTATTTAAAACAAAAGATGGAACCAGACTGATGACAAGCCTTAGGGTAGGAAACTGGAAGAAGCATAGTTCGCCCTTTCAGAAGCCTGATGTGTATGGTTGGATTATTGACACCACTAGGAGAGAGACAACACATTTGACTGCCATTTTTGAGTGGAACAGCTCTGCTTCATGCCACTCAAACTCCAGGGAGAGCAGTGGTTCCACATGACTATGAACCACAAGATTCACGGTTGGAGCCCACCAAAGTTCCGTGAACCTTATTCAGGATTATTACTGTGAGCCAGAACTGACTCAATGGCACTTATGTACAACAAATTAGTCTCTGTGTGCAGAAGAAAGAAGTGTGATGAAAATGTGGAAATGCTTGGAATCAACTTGTCCAGTGCATCAGTGGAACATGTGAGCATTGGTCACCATGACTCTGAAACCAGAAGAGCTAGATGGTGCCCAGCTGCTGCTTTCAACTGCTCTGAAAGGGAGGGATCACATTAGAAGGTCCCAGGTAGAGTAGGAGAAAATGTGGAACAGCGTTCAAAACAGACCCGTATTTACTAGTAAGAAGGAGATTAGAGTAACCTGAGAATATGGCCCTTGCCTACCCTTAAGGTTTGGAACTGCACTCACCCTTGTGACCCAATTTTTCAACCAAGCATTGGTTAGGTGTATAGTGGGAAGTACTAAGAAATGCTCACCATGGAATGGTCATTCAAGATCTAAGAACAAAGTTGAGATGGGATTGGAAGAAGGGCGGAACAGAAAGCAGACCCACAAGGAGGAAATGGCAAAACTTGTTGCGTGGAGGGAATTACAATCATAGAGATGAAACAACACGTATGATTTGTTGAAGGTGAAATTGATGATCTCAATTTACAAAAAAAAATTCAAAAATATGTGTATTTGGTGACTATGTATCAAGGAGCTCTGGTAGGGTAGTGGTTAAGAATCAGGATGCAAACCTTAAGGTCAGCAGTTCGAAAATAACAACTGTTCCACGGGAGAAAGATGAGGCTTTCTGCTTCTGTAAAGATTTGTAGCCTCGGAAACCCTAATTGATCTGTAAAAGGAAGAGAAACTTTCTAGCAAGGTTTCAATCTGTAATTTTTCCTGTTCAACTTATTTTTCTAGTTCACTTGTAACTTTAAAATTTGGGGTTTGTTCTGGTATCTCTTCTACCCTCATATCCATTATTTCACTGAACAGAACCAATTTGAAGCCCTGGCTAATTAAAAACAGATGTTGTTCATAACCTTGGGACATCCTGTGTATGATAATTTACAATGTTGTTATAACTATTTTTGAATGGCCATTTGTCATAACTACTTAACTACTTTTATAGCATACTAAATAAAATCCAACCTTTTTGATTTCTTGTACATTATTTCAGTTTTTGTTGCTTTGTATTAAGCTTCTGGAGTCCTGATGTGACACTGTAGGATAAACACTAAACCACAAGGTCAGTTTGAACTGCAACATCGGCAGTTCAGACACAAAAGCCACTCCTGCAAAACCCAATACAGGATCATGATGAGTTGGAACCAGCTCAACAGCACTTAACAACGATAAGCCCCTTGTTAAATTTGCTATGGAAAAACAGACTAATCAGAATTTACTGTAAAACCCTAGGAAATCTGTGACTCTAATATATCATCTCTTTTGATTCCTTAGGGAATATTTTTGCTTACTGCTTGTTGATTAGATTCTAGATTACTAAGATTGCTGCTCATTAGTTTCATATATGTATGGTAAAATATTCCAACCATTACCAACCAAAAATTTTGTTATTGTACATTAGAGTCTGTAGTTAAACAAAAGTGGTGTGGAGATTATTATTTTTAGACATGCAGATATATATCAGTTAATGTCCACAAGATATAGTGATTTGGACTCGTGTGCGCACCATATTAAAACTCTGGGCATCTGCTTCCAGTTGTACTCATCCTCCTGCAGAAGCTGCTGGTAAAGACTACAGGAACTGGCTGCAGGAAGAGGAAGCAGTGTGTGCTTGACCTCACCTGCCTGCCTGCCTGTATCCCACCCGAGGTTCACTTCTAGGTTTGGTGTCTGTACAATTTTAGGGAAGTATAGTAGGCAGCTGATGAGCTGCTTCTCCCTCGCATCGCCCCGACCCCTTTTTTTTTTTTCCCCATAACTTTCCCCATGAACTCATGATACGCTGTCACATATTGTCCAAACAGACAATAAGCAACACATTTATTGGAATAGGTTTATGAAGATGATTTCCTTTATCTTTGCTTATAGTGATCTCTTCTGTATTTACAGAAAATGAAGGAAGAAAACACAGGAGCCGGAGCAGAAGCAAAGAGGTAATTAATGCTTTGTAGTGAATAGGTACTTTAAAATACTTGTAAAGTATCTGGTAGAAATATTTGTGTGAACTATATGGTATTGTTAAGGTAAGTACCAAAACTTGAGATTTTAAATGGTTTATTGGGTTATAAAATAAGCATGATTCATCTTTTTTTCTTTTCAAGAAGATAGTTGTTTGTATGGAAAGTACAATCAGAAACTTAATTTTATTATGCAATAAAAATATTCACAATAAAATTTTCATATGAAGACTAGAATTGGTTTTTTAGGCCTGTCATACAGAGCTTCCATTAATCTGAGGTCGTGAGTCTTCTCATGACTGACCACTGCTCAGGATTTTAAAATAACAATCATCTTTTAAGTAACAATACCATAGATTTCAGTGGGCTACTTTTTCTTCATGAGAGATGAGAGCCTTTTCCTTTTTTTTTTTCTCTCTTTATTTTAAAGTAAACTAGTTTGATTTCCCAAATAGTAGTAGTGTTTCTATGAAGGACGGCTAAAAGTGGTGGTGACAGCAAAACTTGAGAGAAAAGAAAAGACAACGCCTGTATTGCAGAGGAGATAACTTGCTCACCCACCTGAGAAGACAAGGAAAGGGAAAAAGAAAAAGAAAAAAAAAAAAACAGAGAAGGAAGAGTAGAAGTAGCAGAAAAGGGAGGAAGGTAGCTTTATGGGGGTGGGCAAGGGTCTCTTAATACAATGTGGGCAGGGACTTCCTCTTCCCCTAATGGAAGCTCTGTTAAATTTTTAATTTAGGAGAGTTTTGTGAAAATGACTATTTTGTTTAGCTCACATGATAACATTTCTATAATAAATCATACTCAGCGTGCTAATGCGCGAAGAGACTGAACTGAAGACGCTGCAGACTCAGATAGCAAAATAATAAGCCTACTTCATGATAAGGTAACTATTAGTCATTCAAACTCCTATTTCCCTTAAATGTATCTTAAATCAGTTAAGGGTTTTAATAATGTTTTTGGTGTTTTGTTTTAATATGTTAAGAGTAATCTTAATTTGGGAAACTGCTTTGAAATAAACTCTAAAGCCTTTGGTGGGTAACCACTTAACACTTTCCCAATTGCCATTTTACACTGCAACGTTAGGGCCAGTTTTATATAGAACTGGCGTTGAAATTAAAACTTAGCTGTATCTCATGTTTTTCTGCAAAATAAACTATTGTGGTCTGTTTCAATTATATCATCGTGCATGTTCCAAAATGACCAAAAGTTTTTTGTTTCCAAGAAAAGTTACTCAGGAATAGAAAGAAATAGAGTGTGGCCTACTTTGGCAACCATAAAATGACGTGTCCTATCATGGGACTCACAAGAACATAGGGCCAAGGTTCAGCTATGCTGCTGTGTAGTGTTTTCACTTGACAACTCAGTGAGTCAGTCATAAAGAAGTTGAATTAAAGAGTTAATACTTCTAAAACGTCAACTTCAAAATCAATTTTCATAACTGTTCATGTGGAAAACAGATTTTTAGCACTTCCTAGTACGTCAACTTTCTGGTGGCCCTGTAAGTTAGGTGTTGGTCTGCTAACTGCAAAGTCAGCAGTTCAAAGCCACAAGCCACTCCCCATGAGAAGGATGAGACTGTCTGATCTTATAAAGATGTAGAATTTTCAGAATCCTGTATACGATCACTAGAGTCAGATCGACTCAGTGGCATTGAGTTTGGGCTAGGTGTTTTGGTATAGGGGCCACATTAGTCTGAGTCACTCAAAGCAATTAAAAAACATTTTTTTTTAATTTTAGTGTTAGGCTAGAGACTGTCATTTATGTTAGCTGAGTCTCGGAATCCATGTTATCTTGAAAGCATTATATGATGGTAGAGCAATTGTTACACTTAGTTTGAAAATAGATTTAGTTACTGTTTTCTACCCTAGCTGCCTGAGCCAAAATAGAACCCCATATCTGTTCAGATATTACGGTACGCAGTGATTGATGGCGTTACAGTTTAGTCTTTGGGGAAATCGAGAGCTGTTGTAGATCTACAGAAGGGGGTGTGCGGAGTAGCTCTAAATGGACACTCATGGCACAAAACAGTTTGAAACTTGAGATAAAATTACTGCTTAGGAAGATTAATTTTACATAGCTTTACTTGTGAAATGCTTTGTCTGGTGCATTTCTCTGTGTCTTTATTATTTCCATACGTTTTAAACTTAAAATCATACATACTCTGGATTTAGAAATTGGTATATTTCCACGGTCTATTTTGCTAAAAGATTTATTGCAAAACTTGAAAGTCTGGATACATGTCTGTATACTTGTTCTTTTAAAGGAAACATCAGTTTTTATTCTGATGTCAGTATTCTTTCAGTATTATTGCAACCTTGAAAATTATTTGTTGTTCTTTATTGTCATATTGAAAATAGTATTTTGGGGAGGGTTATAAAGGAAACATTGAAATTAAAAATATTACATCTGCAACATTTGGGTGATGTGAAACTAGATCTTTTTTTATTTTTTTAATTTTTTTACTTGAACCACACACTCCTAAGGTTACTAATGTTGCATCACAACATTTTTGTCTACTGTTACCCATACTAACTCTCTTTGTCGCACTATTTTCCTGAAAGAACCAACTTCTTCTTAAAACAGGCAAGAAGACATGAACCCAAAGATAAATCCTCTAAGAAACACAAGTCTGAAGAGCATAATGATAAAGAATATTCTGACAAAGGAAGGGAACGACTGAATTCATCTGAAAATGGTGAGGACAGACACAAGCGCAAAGAAAGAAAGTCATCTAGAGGCAGAAGTCACTCAAGATCTAGGTCCCGTGAAAGGTAGGTTCTTTGGTTTTCATTAACTTAGTACTTGTGAGCTGTAAATTATATAAATGTCCTTAATCCAGTTAGTACCCAAACTGTCTTAATTAAATATAATAGGTATTGCTGCTTACTTGTCCACTGTCTTTGCCTACTGGCATCCACTAACGAATGAAAGAAAACTTTTGGGCTTTGTTTTCTGGATAAGTGTAAAGACTGAAGGATAAGGGTAATTATGCTTAATACTCAATTAGTGACTATAATTGTTTAAACTGTGGGTTGGTTTTTGTGTCTTTGGGTGAATATATGATACATGAATTAATTTGATAGTTTACGTCAATAGAATCCTTATATCTTCATGTAGTTTGACTTGTAGCAATAGTGATGTTGTTAGAATGTGTTTAATCTTCTTGTACAGGTAAGATTTTAGCACTTGAAGAGCTTTTATTTCTTTTTCAAGACACCAGTGTTTAATGTATTTGGAGAATACAAAGGGGCTTCAAAATTTCTTGAGAGCATTCTTTTATTTTCTGATTTTCCATAATTTTTTGATGCGCCCTTCATATGTTGATCAACATTTTCCAGTAACAGGAAGTTAATACTGTTATTACTTATAAATACAATTGGTAAATCACATCTTAGACTGGTAAAACAATTATAATGGGATGGATTAGAAATTTTTTACATGTTACAGCTCTGATGATCCCATGGAGCCATCATCAAGCAAGAATGAAAGCCGCATTCTTTTAAAAATATCTGTTGTCCTTTCTTCAACGAGCTCTGGTGTAGTGTACTAGTTAAGCACTCAACTGCTAACTGAAGGTTGACATTTCACATCCACTAAGTATTCCAAATTAACTGGTGTTACTGTGTAGTTGAGTTTGTTCCAAGTCATAGCAACTCCATATAGAATTTTCCAGGAGTGCCTTGGTGGATTTGATCCACCGACCTCATGGTTCACTCTAACCTTGTGCTCACGTGCTTTTGATTCCCCACCAGCCTAGGAAAAACTCCTGGTCAGTTTTACTCTGTCCCATAGGGTCACTGTGAGTCAGGTGTGACTCAGTGGCTCGCAAAAGTAACAGCCCCATAAACTACAGAGGTTAATTTGCTGTTTTGGTGGCATACAGATAACGAATTCATACTGTATACAACTGGAATGGAAAAGGCTCGAACTATAAATTTGAGCGCTTTTCATTTCAGACGGCATCGTAGTCGAAGCAGGGAAAGGAAGAAGTCACGGTCCAGAAGCAGAGAGAGGAAGAAGTCACGGTCCAGAAGCAGGGAAAGAAAACGGCGGATCAGATCTCGCTCCCGCTCCAGATCAAGACACCGGCATAGGAGTAGAAGCAGAAGCAGGACAAGGAGTAGAAGTCGGTAGGTGCTCATCCTCCTCAACAAAACGGACACAATGTCTGTGAAACTCCTCTTGAATATGTAGATGCTCTTTGTGCCAGCTGTGTGCTAGGAATCAGCCCCTCGCAGGATCTGTGTGCTTCTCTAAACTTTCTGATCTATAGCTAGGAGTCCTGGTGTGGCGCTGTGGGCTAATGCCCTGGACTGTGAAGTCGTTTGAACCACAGAGTCAGTGGTTCAAGCTCATCAGCCGCTCCTTGGAAACCCTATAAAGGGTCGCTGTGGGTCAGCACCAACTCAAAAACACTTAACAGCAGCATAGATACATACTCATCATATGCATGTGTATAGAATCCTGGTGTGGTGTGCTGTAGGATAAGTAGTGAGCAGTTAACCACAGGTGTCAGTTCAAACCCACCAGCCACTGCTTCACAACCTTATACAGGGTCGCTATGAGTTGGAACCAGTTTTACACCTTTTAACAACCTGTTGGGTTTCCTGGTGTGGCGCTGTAGTTTAATTCACTGGACTGCAAGGTCAGTTTGAACCGTGGGGTTGGCGGTTCAGGCTCTCCAGCCACTCCTTGGAAACCCTATACAGGCTAGCTATGGGTCAGAACCATCTCAATGGCACTTAAAAACAAAAACTTGTGTGTAGGTAGGTTAGATAGGTAGATAGGGTATTCTCATAATCTTATTTGATCATTAATTTCTGTGAAGTAACAGGTACAAGTGTTAGGTGCTGTTAAGTCACTGTCAACTCAACAGCCTTGTGTAGGATTTCTGAGGAACAGTTGATAGGTTTGAACCACAGACCTTGCAGTTAGCAAGTCCAATGCTTATTCTAAACCGGGACTCCACAGGTATAAATAGCTAATACTATTTGCCTACTGTATTGGCTATATACAGATTTTGCCAAAACTCTTTTCACATGTAAATAATTTACCAAGTCCTCAAAGCAATCTTGTGATAGAAATCCATAAGGTTTAGAGAGATTGATAATTTGTTGAGAAAAGTACAATAAAGAGTAAGAAAGTCCTTCATGATTAAATTGTTTTAGAAATGGTTTTTTTCTCCATTCAAGTGATAGTAGATCATAGGTAGTCACATACACTAATGTTAATGTTCATTCACTATTGCCGTTTCAGTGGAATAGCCTATAAAAAGATTGCAATATAGAAAAGGAATAAAAAAATTTCTCCTTATAATGGTTTATTTGAGCCTTCTTAAAGCAGCTAATGAAGTCCTGATGTGGCATTGTAGGGTAAGCACTGAACTAACCACAATGTTCAAAACCAACTGCTCCTTAGAAACCATATATAGGGTCACTATGAGTCAGAAGCTACTCAGCAGCACTTAACAAATCACTTTTTAGTGGGTTCGATTTGTACTAGTTTACGAATTTGAAATCTAGGCTAGTAGATCTAAATTAAATGAGGTATTCAAATTTTTTTTTGCTAAAATTTTTTTGGTGATTAATACTTTTTTTTTTTACTTATTTTGATTGTAGTTAACGTACCTTTGAGCAGGTTCCAACTCACAGTGACCCTGTATAAGGTTTCTGAGGAGCCGCTGGTAAGTTTGAAGGTGATGACTTTGTGGTTCACAGTCCAGTGCTGAAAGAACCTACAGCACCATACTTGTTAGGTGCCTTCAAGTTGGATCCCACCCATAACAATTCTTGTTGTTATGTGTGTAACTCTTGTTGCTTGGCCATAATGACATGTGAAATAATGTTTTGGGTGTTTTTTTACACAGAGATAGAAAGAAGAGAATTGAGAAGCCAAGAAGATTTAGTAGAAGTTTAAGCCGAACTCCTAGTCCCCCTCCCTTTAGAGGCAGAAACACAGCAATGGATGCACAAGAAGCTCTAGCCAGGAGGTATGTGTGGATTTACTTAGTGATGTTTTTCCCCTTCAGAACTAACATGGGTTATATTAATTCTTTTACTTAGATAATATAAATAAGAGGCAATTCCATCTAGCCATAGGTATTATAATATCTTTGACGTAATGCTTTGTAAGTGGTTATTAATTCTCATCTTAAATTTTCACTTGTTAAAATAACTGGAAAGATTGAGATGTCAGCGGTAGTTCCTGTTTTTTATTCATGGAGTTTTTACCCCTAAGAAAATATATTCTCTCAAACAAACAAAAAAAAAAGTTGTGGGTTTTTTTTTGTGTTTTTTTTTTTTAAGTATCTTAATTTTTAATGAAACTTTGAGGTTTAAATTTGGTTCATGTAACTCTTAATTTTGCCACTAAAAATTCTGTTTCTCAGTAACACAAACTACCTTCAGCAATACTAAAGTACAATTCTGTCAGTAGTTGTTACTTTGAAGGTGACAAATGAGAGGTTTACATCATTTGAATCCAATTTATTTAAATGATCTTATAAATTTTACTTCTGATAACAGGGAGAACATTGTAATTTTTTAAATTTTTTAACGATTCAAAGATATGTGTTTGTGGAACCCACGTACAACAGGGCTAACTGAAATCCGCAAAACTCTTCCAAGAAGTACCATGTATGGGGAGGTAAGAAGTACAATAACCCCCAAGTGCTTGTTCACACGTTGCCTTTATTCTGAAAGTTACACTCTGGATTTTTTTTTTTTCCTTTACAAAATGAGTTTATATTTTTATTTATTTACTCTTTTTATTAAAAAATAGAGTTATCACAATGTTACCTGATGTGCTGCTGTCCCCCTGTGACGCCAGCGTGGCAGAAACTCCACCTGAACAGCAGCAGCAAAGGTGTGAGCGCAACCCCTCCTTCATTCCATTCACCTGAGTGAATGGTGTTAATTCCAAACCCACAGTGACCTTTTCAACATTTAATTGGCTCATCATGCAGAACCTGTACCTAGACCAAGAGGCAGTTGTTTGAACAAAACAAGGGAATAATACATGGTTTAAAATCAGGGGTAGGGGGTGTCTGGTTATATCCATTCACCTTATTTACATTTATGTATGCTGAGAAAATTGTCCTAGAAGTTGAACTATGTGGAAAGAAACAGAATCAGAATTGGAGGAAGACTCATTAACAAACTGCAATATGCAAATGACACAATTTTGCTTGATGAAAATGAAGAGGACCTCAAGCACTGATTCTTAAAGATCAAAGAATGCAGTCTTACAACTCAAACAAAATAAAAACCCCTCACAACTGTACCAATAACCAATACAGGGAGAAAAGATTGAAACTGTCAATCTTGCTTGAATTCTGCACTTAAGTGTCAATGGAAGTATCAGTTAAAGGCATCTGAAACAGTGTTTTGCATTGGGCATGTCGGCTGTTAAAGGCTTCTTTAAAATGTTACAGAGCAAAAATAAAACTTTCAACACAAAGATGCGCCTGCCCTAACCATGTTCGGGCTTATGAACAAAGAAGACCAAAGAGTGAATGTATTTTAATTATGATGTTGGTAAAGAATATTGAACATTTCATGGTGTGTCAGGTTAAAAACAAACGAGCAAATCTGTTCAAGAAGTACAGGGTAAATGCTCCTTAAATGTAAGGATGGTGAGACTTCATCACAGGTACCTTGAATGTGTTATTAGGAGGGAACAGTCCTTGGAGAAGGACATTATACTGGCTTTAAAATACAGGGTAGTGAAAAATGAAAGACTTTGAATGGAATGAATTGACTACCATGCTACAGCAATGGGCCCAAACAAATGTTATATGTACACATGAGATCTCTCAGAGTTGAAATTGACTCATGGTACCTAACAGAAGTGGCCCTTTTAATACAATAAGCAGTAGCCGCTTTTCTTTCTGAAACAAATTTTAAAAGCTAGGAAATAATTTATTAGGAAACCTGAACTAGTTTATATTTAATTGTCTGTTAACTGTTGTCAGAATTTTTTAAGCTCCAAAGTATACTTATTTACTCTTGTTAAATGCTGTCCAGTCAGTTCCAACCCATAGCTACTCGGACTAGGGCTTCCGAGGACCGACTGGTGAGCTTGAACCATAAACCTTGCAGTTAAAACCAACTTTGCAGTCTAACGCATTAACCCACAGCAAGACACCAGGACTTGAGTATAGTGTAAATCTATTTTAATATTTGAAATTGATTATTGTGTTGAAGCTGTTGATAGCATTCATTTGCATCAGTGAACACATTGTAATTTTGCCTTAATTAGAAACTTTTGTTGCCGAAGGCAGTATCCTACCTATATTGTACCTTTACTGCACGTGTGCTCTGTTGTTAAGTGCTGTGGAGTGTATTTGTACTCTTCCGAGGCATTAAATATTCTCTGGGAACAGAAAGCCTCATTGACTTCTGACTGAGGAGCTGGCAGGCTCAAATTGCAGACATTGTGGTCCGTAGTCCAGTGCTTACCTTAGGGGGAGATACCTTGGTTTATAAGAGAGAATATACTACAAATTGTTATATTTTATGCCACCAATTGTTAAATTTCAATTCATACCACTGTATTTTATTACACAGTTCACCCTTTTTTATATACCACCTTAAAGAGAGATGGCATATGTTAAGATCCTTGAATCATAGAAGCACCTTTTGAAGAATGGGAGTTTCTGTTATCTAATTACAAAGTTATTGTTACTTACTGTATAGAATGTAAATAAAGACTTGACAACACAAACACCCTCGGCCCCCAGGTGGTGCACATGCTTAAAGCATTCAACTATTAAACAAAAGGGTTGGTAGTTTGAACCCACCCCAGAGGCAGTGTTTTTAAAGAAATATCTGGAGATAATACTTTGCAAAAAGTCACAGCCTTGAAAATCTTTGGGAGTACAATTCTCTGTTTATATGACATAGCCTTGAGTTGAAGTTGACTTAAGGCAACTGGTAACTGACTTGACAGAAAATTTAGTTTGCCATATCGATTAGTTAAATTAGTACTTGCAGAGATGTATTTACTTTTATTTGGATGGATATGTATTTTCATACTATAGTTTCTTTTTAACCCATTTCTAGAGTTTCTAAAAGTAGTTTCATAATGTGCGGGGTTATTTCCCTTCCTTTCCATTCTGTCTGCTGTATGAATTTGAAAAAGAAAGGTTTAGTGAAAAAATCATTATCTGGATATTTTGACTGGCCTCATTCTGGTTCAGTTTTCCCTCTAAAAAGCATTTATGTCATTCTGTAAACTTAATTTTTTTTCATGTTAGTAAACCAAGGTTTTCTCAATATATTGTTTTGAATATTTAATTTTTTGCTGATTAAGTTGGTGTTAATTTTTAGTGATTTTAGAAACTGCATGTAAAACAATTGTGGTTTAACTATTTAATAGTGATATTGAAATATTCTTTAACTATGACTGGATACCATCTTAAGAACGTTGATTTCTTTACCCATCTGTGGGTGTCAATTTTAGGGTATGGTGAGCTTTTGTTTATTTATAGAGTAATACAGAAATATATATACTGCTTGTCATCTTACACTTAATAAATTGTTATTGGCAGGTTGGAAAGGGCAAAGAAGTTGCAAGAACAACGAGAAAAGGAAATGGTTGAAAAACAAAAACAACAAGAAATAGCTGCAGGTATTGGATTATTTTCTTTGTTGTGAAAATAAAATATTCTTCAAAGAAAACTTGAAAAGTGCAGAAAACGAATAGGAAGAAAATCAATTGTAAACATTTTTAGTTGCTTTCCAGCTTCATAAAATCTCAATGCATGTTTCAAACTTGATCTACAGATAGTTTATATTTTTTTAATGAGCAAAAGATGACACTACTTTTCATGATGTACTTTAGCTTTTACTGCAAATGTCTTTTAGTGGTGACTTTAGAGATAGATTATCTTAAGGTCAGTGAATAAACAGTAAATGGCATATTAAGTCAAGTTTTTAAACGATACGCAAACTTGATGTTCATATGGAATGAATCTGGACTGCTTTGGACATGGAAACGTTCAAACTACCGTTTTGTACTTAATATGTAATCTTTTGTAGATAACTTAATATAATGTTTTTAAGTATATATATATATATATATAGTTGTTAAGTGCCGTGGAGTCCGTTCCGGATCATAGCGACCCTGCACAGGGTTTCCGAGGCTGTAAATCTTATACGGGAACAGAACACCTCATTTTTCTCCCACAGAACCACTGGTAGTTTCGAAATATATATGGTTAAATATCAGAGTTACAGGTCTCCCAGCTTAAAAACAAATAATGTAGCACTCAGTAATAAGCTCTCTGAACTCAGTAAAATAAAACACAGCAAGTAGAACCCCTGATACATGCAGTACTCACTAATCAAAATGGAATTTTTATTTATTTTTTTCTTATTCTTAAACTCTGCAGTGTTAAAATAATATAATCTGAAAGTATATGAGTGGAGTTTAGGGCAAGATGTTGGAGTAGGCGGATGCATTGAGCAGATCCTGTGCAACAAAGGCATGGTTACAGATGGGGGTCCTGGAACACTGAGCTTCAGAAGATAGGACAGAGAGAGATGGACTGAATGTTAACTGGAAAAAGAAACTGAACCAGGAACAATGAAAGAAAAAACAAAAAAGTAGGCAGGCTGTGAGCTGGCTTGCAGCAGCATAGCCAGCTTGAGCTTTGGCAAGCACTGCTAATACATATAGTAGCTAACTCCAAGTAGGAGACAAAGGGAGGTGCAGTCCACCCTTGTTTGCTTGTCCTCCTGGTAACTGAGGCATGGCCATTCCTGTCATCACCAACACAGCAGCCACTGGTACCCCTTGCTGTACAGTCTCTGCCTGGGGTCCCTGAACCTATCTTAACTTCGCTACACGTGGTGGTCACGTAGTTTATCATACCCAGTAGAAGACAGGTAGTGAGTACCTGAGAACAAACCAACATATGTAATCATCAAGTAACAGACACGTTACCACACTGGCTCAGGGAAGGCAGACAACTTAATGTTACATGAAGAAGAAACTAAAATGAGTGTCTCAAACAAATGACCAATCAAAGCAAGGAATAATTTAGGAAGATATTATAAGAACAAACTAACAAAATAAATTAAAAATTGTAATCTGTACAGAAAAGGCAATTAGAAACTTAGATGATAGCCATCTAGGAAGTAAATAACCAAGATTTATTAAGTCAAAGACAAGGAAAACTGAGGAAAAAGAAAAAAATTGCCTATAAAGGAGAACTAATAAGGCTAAGCAGTGAGATCTTAGCAGAAACCATGCAGGCAAGAAAACAATGGGTTAACATAGACAACACAAAAGAAAAAAATTGCCAGCCAAGTCATGCAGCCAGAAAAATTGGCAGTCAAATATGATGGTGAAATTAGGCCATTTCCAGATAAACAAAAGAAATTACAAAAACAAGGCCATTCTTAAAAAAGAAATAACTCCCCCCCCAAAAAAAAAAAAAGCTAAAGAGGATAGAGAGAAACACTGTTAACTGGTGATATATGGAGGGGATAATAATCCTTGTAATGAAACAAGCTATATGAATGGTTGAATGTGAAGCTGATGATGTGCCCTGTAAACTTTTACTCAATCCAAAATAACATTTAATTAAAAAAAAACAAGTAACAAAAGGGAATTCTTGGACAGAGAACCAACAGCAGAAAACCTTCTAAGACTAATACATGACAGTAGCGCCTAGAACCCAGATTTAGAAGTATGCAAAGTAAAACAAAGCTGGAAGACTGAAAATAGGGAAGCAAAGATAGAAATTTGCAATAACAAAGTTATAAAAATAAGAGACTGTAACCCTAAAACTACCAATCTTTACTCCTAACCCTAGACCAACCCTAACATTAACCTTACTGTTAAGTGCTGTCAGTTCTCACACAGCAGTTGTTGTTGTTGTTATGTGCCGTCGAGTCGGTTCCGACCCATAGCGACCCTGTACAGGGTTTCCTAGGCTGTAAATCTTTACGGAGAGCAGAAAGCCTCATCTTTCTCCCGCAGAACAGAAGGTAGTTTCGAACTGCTGACCTTAAGGTCTCACACAGCAGTACTGATGGGTTTCCAAGGAGCAATTGATAGGTTAGAACCGCTAACCTTGGGCTTAGCAGCCCTGTGGTTACCCTAGAGTGCCATACCACATTAACTCTAGTTCAGATCATAATCCTAATGCTCAATGAAATCCTAGACCTAATAAACAATTTTTTTCCTCCTTTGAAAAGTACAAGAGTGAGCTCATGAGTCAGCCACTTGTCCATGGAAACCCCTGGCATGGCTGCTAGTTTTTTTTTTTCATCTTTGAATTCTGCTGCTGCTGCTGCTGCTTATTACATGCCATATAGTTGGTTTGTATGTATGCATTTTCTACTGTCAGTTGGGAGAGGGTGTGTTAATCGCCATACATCTGTCTCTTCAGCAGCTGCAGCTACCGGAGGTTCTGTTCTCAATGTTGCTGCCCTGTTGGCATCAGGCACACAAGTGACTCCTCAGATAGCTATGGCGGCTCAAATGGCAGCCCTGCAAGCTAAAGCGTTAGCAGAGACCGGAATTGCTGTGCCTAGCTATTATAACCCAGCAGCTGTGAATCCAATGAAGTTTGCAGAACAAGAGAAAAAGAGGAAAATGCTTTGGCAAGGCAAGAAAGAAGGGGTGAGTTTTTCTTTATTTTCCTCTCAATAACACTGTGGAAACATAACGTGAGATCTAAATCAAGCTTCAAAGAAAATATTGCCCTACCCCATAGATAGGCAGAAGGATCCCTGGTGGTGCTATAGGGAAATGGGCCACGAACGGCTCCTCATCAGGAAAAAGAGCTCACAGTCTTCTAAACCCTGTACTATGATAGCTATGTGGCAGAATGGGCTTAATGGTTGTGGGGTTGGGATTGTAGATGGAAAAGAAGTACTTTGCTTACCTGGTTGTATGACGTGCTTGCTTTTATTATATTTCTTTGATTTATTATACCAATTTTAGGCTCTATTTAGAATGTCATAAGTGCTATTGTTATAATAAAATGTGTTATACACACGTTATAAGGTTTCCTATTTCTTAACAGGACAAATCTCAGTCTGCTGAAATTTGGGAAAAACTGAATTTTGGTAACAAGGACCAAAATGTCAAATTTAGGAAATTAATGGGTATTAAGGTAAGTTTATTAAGCAACATTTTTTCCCAAGGTAGCATTAGTGCTCAGATTAAATGCATTTTAGTGGTTTGTCAATTCAGTACTTTATGGTGCTTTTCTGTTGATGGGTTCACCTTCAGTGGCACAGAAATTAACTAAAAACCTGTATTCACTGGTACATGATAATAAATTGTTCTTAGGTACATTTGTTCAATTTTAGATGAAACTTAGTCAAAAGGACTTAATGAATTTGCTTTCATATCGTTTTTCTGTTTGAACATGTAGTGTACTTAGTATGTAGATGTATAGACACTAATTTGATTTAAGTTTTTCCCACCCACAAAGGTCTGTGAATGTTTAGACCTAGGTTATTGTTTTAGGGGTTTGTTTACATTGAAAGGACACTTGGTCTAAATGAAGTGCTCCTTTTATAGTACAATAAACAAAGCACTAAACTTGTTGTTCCTCTTGTCAAAGGATATTTGAATTTCCCCCTTTGGAATATTCATAGTTCTGTTGTTTGCCTAGCAGACATAACCTAGATCTCACTTAAAATGCCAACCTTATAGAGTTCTCTCCCACCTTCCTCTTTCTGGCATCCCTACCCCGGGATTACTCCGTCCCCATTCTCTGTTTTTATTTATGGCATTACCTCTGACATGTATAATTTTGTGTTTTGTGCCCCTCCTACTACAATATAGAGGACTTTTTAGAACATCCTGCCCTGTCCACTACCTAGTTAGAACTCTGCCCTGCATACTACAGGTGCTTCATGACCGAATCAGTGGACACTTAATAATTGAGGTCAAATAGGAATCCAGATGTCATTTTAACAATATTGTTAGGTGGTAAAGTGGTTTTATTCTCCTCTAAAATCTTCATTTTGATTATTTTTTTTTCTATCTGATATTTAGAGTGAAGATGAAGCTGGTTGTAGTTCAGTTGATGAAGAAAGTTACAAGACTTTGAAGCAACAGGAAGAAGTATTTAGGAATCTTGATGCTCAGTATGAAATGGCAAGATCACAAACCCACACGCAAAGAGGAATGGGGTTGGGTTTCACATCTTCAATGCGAGGAATGGATGCAGTTTGAAAAAGATCATACTTGTACATTTTGGGACTTTATAGACTGCTCTTGTTCTGATGTCAGGTCCTTGTTCACCAAACAGCTAGCATTCTAGCTTGCATGGGTGTTGCATTGACTTTTAATTTATTGAAAAACTATGATTTTTTTTTTTTTTTTTTTTTTTTTCTGTAAATATCAGATCAGTGATACTGGTGTTAGTGTTGTAATCAGGTTAAACCCACTTCATTCAACTTGACAGAACTATAGAAGGACAATATTTTTGAGTTCATGAATTCTACTTTTCAGATATATACAAGCTGCAGGTGGGATCAAAATCTCATCCATGGGATTCCCGTGTCCGCTGTCTTGTGTACTTTTGTACTTACCCTTGTACAGTTCTTTTCATCTCTGGAAACATTAAAGCAATGTTATGTAGTTGTTCTTTAGATGATCTGGCCATTTGGTACATAGTCCAGCATAAATAAGCTGGATAGAAAGAATAATAAAAATGGTTTTCTCAAAAATGGTGTTAATTTAAATTACCTTTAATTCTTATTTGTGAATTGACTATATGATTTCTGTAGCATTTTGGAATTTCTATTAGAAAGTACTGACTAGAAGTCTTGCCCCATTCCCTCCATTTAATTATGCTATTTGCAATGCCATAGTGATCAAAATGTACAAAGGTCTGAAGAACAAACAAAGGAAGCTGCTAAAATACTGTTACATTATAAGTGACAGATTCTGTGTATTGTGCTCAAGAAATACAAATACATAAATGCATTAAAGGGATGTAAGCACTTTTATTTTAATAAAGTGCTTTATATTATAGCAAGTCCTTGTATGCCCTTTGCTCATCCTATCATTCTCCAGTGTAACAAACTATTCTAAAACTGGAAAATTACATCATCACTAAATTGAATCAATTAAATCTTCTCAGAGTTACTATTAAGACAGGAATTCACAATTCCTTTTTTTATACTCTTGCCTAAAGTAACAATAATTATATAAGTGTGTATCTCATTTGAACTTAGCACAAATTTATTTTCCAGTTGAGCTCTAAAATCAGTTTTGTTGAAATATTTTGTGGACCTGCAAGGCCCTATGGGTGCAAAATTGCACATTAACTGCTTTCTATGATTTGAGAATATTTTAGGGGTTGAATGGTTATAGTTTCCTATGTTCTAAATTAGCATTGTCCAGTAGAAACAACACAAGCTACTTAATTTTTCTGGTAGCTAAATTAGTGTTAAATAAAGGTAATTAATTACGTAGTACAACACATCAAAAAATTCAACCTGGACTTTTTATTTTTTTAAGGTTTTTATTGTAGATTGTGTGCAAGTTTACCGGGCATATCATCAGTTTTACATTCAACAAATCATATACTTTGTTTTATTACACTGATTATAATCCCCTCCATGTACCATCAGTTAACAGTA